TCGACCAAACTTTGAACAGTACTGTACGGACTGATCGATGGATACCAATAGTAAGATAATCGCCGATATTGTATGGATGTATGGGAACGACATCTTAATGAATGGCATTGATTTAAGACAATTGTTTAGCACTGGATGTATGAATGGATTAGTCGGTTGATTGCACTGACAAACTACAGGTGCAAACTCTAAACTGACTTTTTTAATGTCTTTTGCATTGAAATGTGATTTTTCAAAGTCATGCAAAAGAAACAAAAACTAAAACAACAACAAAAATGTTTGCAATAAAATATCGGAATTTGGAAATTAAGTTAATTAATGCAAAAATTATTTTTCAAAACAGGTTTTGTTTATTTGTCACTTAATTTTATTGGTTTTAATTGTTTGACATTTAAAATGACAAAACAAAAATGTTTTTTGATTAGAAAGTCATTTAACTTAATTAATTGTACTTTAGATAAATTACAGTTATGTTGATTTGCATATCAATTGTGACTTTATTTTATCTAATTTTGCTAATAAGTTTAGTTTTTTTTTACAAATATCAAATATTAAACAAAAAATTGTTATAAATTAATTAATTAAAAATATGAAAAACAATGAAAATAATGATTATGAAAATTATACAAAAGAATCTTCAAAACTTATATTAAACTGATTATCAAATAATTGATCAAACTGATCAAGGTGTTTTGTTGTGTTCACCGCTTTTATTGCTTCAAGCTTTGTCTTCATTTTATTAGTGGTCTCTTTTTGGTCATCGATTTCTTCATTTATATCAAATGAATCCATTGTTATATCACTTTCATTACATTTGGAAAACAATGAATGTTTGACACAATTATGATTTAAGAATATAGAAATATTATTACATTTACTAAATTTATTTAGAAATTTCCATATATTTAACAACATTTGATAAAGGTTCACAATGTCCATGTTATTTTATTTCTACAATACCAACGCCATAACAGCATTTGAGAGATATATCGACTGTCTCTTTACTTATAAATATACAAGATCAGTTTATTTATTTAAATAATTGTCTTTTATTTTGTATTTTGTTTAATAATTCGATAATTTGTAAAATGAATTAAAAATTATTATAAATATTTAATATAAATGTGGTTAAAATTTTTAACTTTTGTTGAAAATTAAAATAGGACTAAATACAGTAACTAAATAGCTCAAATATAGGACTGTCCTTTGCAATATAGGACGGTTGGTCACGCTAATCTCAGCCCCTGCCATGCAATGCTTCTTTGAATCATCTTTGGGATCCAATCCGATCACTATTTCGCCAACTAATCCATCGATAATACTATTATCTTTCAATGGCGTGAAACGGGTAACCATAGAATTGGCGCCTTTGAATTTCCTGTACAGCCGGTCCTTTTCATTGGTCTGACGGCGGCTTTTGGTGGTATTATAGGGATATAAACGGTCAATACGTTTGAGCATTTCCTCCGGGAAATACAACTGACCCGTATGTATAGTCCGATTGCCCGTATGGCTTAGTATGTGTATGTGAGTGGCCCGGCCAGAATACCAACCTGTATTATACATACAATGTTGATAATAATGTTGTATATAATGTTGAATTATTAGGGTACAATTTAATTAATTTTTTATATTTATAGAAATAAACAACATTTAAATGTATGCCTATTTTTATAACTTATAATTTAAAAGTTTATGAAATATTGTACCGGGAAATACAGTCATGAATTCTGCGACACCATTCTTGTCGGTCATTTGAATGCCTCTCAACCACCGGGTGTTGTCTATAGTCTTTGCGTGACCCCAACGAGTGATGTTTGCGTGAATATACCCGGAGTAGTCGCCGATGGCGTCGCACTGCCAGACATCGATAGAGACGTTGGACAGCGGCTCACATGTGTTCACATCAGTCAGAGTGAGCCGTAGTTTAAGAGGCAGCCCCTGTCGGTCCTCCCGTATGTCCCGACGGATCAGTTGGTCGTCCAGATAAAAAGGTCCCTCAACTGACTCCGGGGTCAGTACGCACTGGTGTTGCAGATGCTGTCGACCAAACTGTGAACAGTACTGTTGTGTTACATCAATGGCCACAAACCAGACCACAGCCACAACGAGTATGTGTTTCATACTAAATCTCAATTTGTGAAACAATGGATACCTAGTTTGATAACACAATTATAATTTAAAAATATAGAAATATTATTACATTTACTAACATTATTTAGAAAATTTTAAATAGCTTACAAAATTTGATAACAGTTCACAATGTCTATGTTATTTTATTTTCAACATTATGTTTATAAGTATTTATAATTATACAAATAATCTTAATATAAGTACAAAGTATGTAATTATAAATAGTTTGATTATAATTTATAAATCAAAGCATTTGAATAGATTTAAACTAGTTATGTTTAATCAGCTAAGATCATAACAAAGCATAATATAAAAATACAATATACGTACTAGTACCTAATAAAGTACCTTTTTATTTATTACGTATCTTAATATAAGTACAAATTATGTAATTATAAATAGTTGAATTATAAATTAAAATTAAAATATCAAACAATTTGAATAGATCTAAACTAGCTATGTTAAGATTAGTTAAGATCTAAACTCAGCTAAGATTATAACAAAGCATAATATAAAAATACAATATAAAGAATTTACGTAATTTTTAAAATAAAAAATATTAGTAGCAATAATAAATCACAAAATGTTTAGCTATCAGTTTATTTTTATCAGGATTGTTTAGATGATAACATCTCAGCCCCTGCCATGCAATGCTTCTTTTGAATCTTCGTTGGGATCCAATCCGATCACTATTTCGCCCACTAATCCATTGCTAATCCTATTACCTTTCAATGGCTTAATACGGGTAACCATAGAATCGGCGCCTTTAAAACCCCTGTACAGCCAGTCCTCTTCATTGGTCTGACGGCGGCTTTTGGTGGTATTAT